AATTTTTAAAGAGGGACTCATTAAGCAGAGGTGTCCCTACAGACAAAGATTTGAAAGACTAATGTCTTTCAGAAAAGTTCCCAGCTCCTTGGGCCTTGTTATGGAAACAAAAGCTATCTGATGGGGGAAGCAATGGACTATCAAACTCCCATGGGGCTGACTCATGTCAGCTACTGATCAGCTCAGCCATGGAGTGAGGCTCTTTGAAGCAAGAACATAGGTGAGGTCGCTTGTGAAGATAAAGACCCTGGCCAGACCAGAGTGCGAAATCGCAGCCAGCAGGCCAAAGCAGAATCAGACCCTGTGGCATTTTTAGATTTGAAGTAGAGAAAGCTAAGGAAGAGCTGACAGGCAGATGCCTTTGATTCTGGGAAATAGATTAAGAGCTAGAATGGCAAAAAACAAAGCAAGCAAGCAAGCAAACAAAAAACCCCAGACAAACGAAAGCTCCATTCTGCTCGGACTTAACCTCACCCCTGACTCATGCTCCCCAACCATTTTCCGAGGCAAGGACTCTTAGATGCTCAAACTTTGCAAATGAAGAACATACATCAACTTCACCTGCTAGCCTCCATCAGGGCCTCAGACCGCCCAAAGGAATTAATGTTCCCCTCCCAGTAAGTTCCTGTCCCCAGAGTGCTGCAAGGAGACACAGACGTACACAGCACAATGGACTTCCTTTCTGCCCCTTCTTCTGGGAATCAATAGGAAGGGCATGTTTAAAATAGTAACACACAGTGACAGGTGGAAGTCACCACACTCAAGTGACAGGTCCAAGTTTGGGTTATGCTAAGCTTGCTTTAAATAAATGAACATGAAGATGTGAGATACTCATGTGAAAGACGAACTTGCAGTAAGAGGTCTAAAAACCAGGCTTAAATTCAAAAAAGAATTAACGGGGGCTGGGCAAATGGCTCCTTGATGAAGAGCACTCATTGCTGTCCCAGAGGACTTGAGTTTGGTTCCCCAGAACTCCCGTCAGGAGGCTCACAACCAGCTGCCTGGAACTCCAGCTCAGCGTATCCAACCCCCTCATCTGACCGACAAGAGCAAACATACATGTGGCATATACTCTCAGACACACACACACACACACACACACACACACACACACACACACACTTAAAAAAAACAAGCATATAATAATCTTAATATAGAAAGTACTCAAAATAAATTATTTTACCTCCATGCAGGAACTACAGATAAATGCATAAACACACAAACACGCCCAGACACCATTTGATAGACTTCCAGATACAGTGCCATGTAGTAACCTGAGTGAACTCACAGTGTGATGACAAAAACCAAGCTGGCTTCTTGAAGCCAGAGAGACCTGCACACCTGATGTCACTCTGAGCATTCTGTCATTTTCACAATGGAACAATATTAGCAACACTAATTTTCTTCTAATCACTCTTCCTGTGGCAAGTAGCAAGTGTTTGAAAACAGAAAAAAAAAAAATCTTGATTTCTGTACCCTTAACCTTCTAGTATAACCTTTTAGTTATACTAGAAGAAAAACTGAGAAAATAGCACTATATGAAATTACGTTTTATGAAGTGTTACTAACCTACATAGTGAGGCACTAAGCCCATAGTAGAAATAATTCCTTTTCTTTTCATGACAGAAATGCTGTGCTCAAAAGCTCTGCCATTCTGTAATTATGTTATGAACAGAATGTGTCTGAAGAAGTGGTAAAAGCTAGATTGGAATGCTGAGGGGGTGGGGAGAGGGAACAAACATGTTTACAGTCTGTTCAAATCTGCAACTTCAGATGTTTGACAGAAATCGTTTGGAGTAGGCTGGGAAGAAGGCGCAAGCAAGTAAAGTACATTCTGGGTGGGCAAACTGTGAGAACCTGAGTGGGTCCTGAGCAGGTGCTTAAAGGCCAGGCGCAGGGCACATGCCTGTAACCACAGTAGCACTTGGGGTGGAGATGGACAGATGTGGGGGCCTCATCAGCCATCCAGACTAGCCTACTCAGCAAGTTTCAGGACAGTGGGAGACCCTGTCCCAAAAAAAAACAAGTGAAAACTGATAGACACCAACATCAGCCTCTGGACTCCACAAGTGTGTGCAAGGGTAAATGCACCTGTACATGTGCAGGCATACAACACACACACACACACACACACACACACACACACACACACTCACACACTCACACACTCACACACACACACACACACTCACACAGACATATACCCTATACACACACACACACACACAAAGAGAAAGTTGTTCTAAACAACATTTTAAATGTGTTTAAGTTTATAAACCACAAGTTGTTAAACATATACTGTTTAAACTTTTAATGTTCAGACCAACAGCTCTGTTAATGCTGCTGTTCTCACTGCTCACTTTCAAACACTCAACTCTCCCACACTCAGTGTACCCAGTGTACACGTCTCCTCCACCCACCAACACGAACACCTCCTGTTCCACAACAGAGAGCATATTAGCTGTTGCTCCTTTCTCTTGGTACACACACGGCTACCTTGCATGAGAAGCCAAGGCCAGCACAGGTCTGTAAGCAATTGGATGCAGCAGTAATGGCAGCACACTTAAAATAATCAAATGGCTTACTACAGTTTGGCTAAATGAGCAAGACAATCTCAGAGCATGACATGCATTCACACTCTCAGACAGATCACAATGAGCCTTGCCACTGAAATAAACAGACTGTCACAGACATGCAGTTATTAGATGACAGTAAACATGAAGTGACATCATCAAGGTGTCACAAGTCTGTCCAGTCAGAGTCTTTCATTCCCCCATGGCTATTTTGTGGGCAAAGATGGACTCCTATGTCTACATCAGAATTTCTGAACCCCAGCAGCATTCCTGCCTGGAGTAGGAAAACCTTCCCTTGTTGAGTCTGTCCTATGGGCTATGGGTCACTTAGCATCACCGTGACCCACTCAACAGATGCCTGTGGCATCCCACACCAACTACAGCAATCAAAAATGTCTCCACACATTGCCAAGTGTCCCCAGGGGGAAAAAACTGCCTCGACAAGAGAACCACTGATCTAATCGATGCCAAGTCCTTTAATCTACTATAATGATAGGACAAGAGTTGACCTACAGGAATCTGCACATTACATAACAACCTAAACTAAAACTAACAACCACACTTCTCTTTACTAAGCAATTATTTGCCATCCTTTAAACCTGCTTCCTTTCATGAAAAGTTCTTTCTCACAGCACAAGGGAAGTCATTTGCCAATGATCTTCCAGGAGGGACAGAGCCTGTCACCTCAGTAGACCCAGAGCTCAGCTTACATCCCCCACTCCACAAGCACGGGAAGTTCTGAAGCCAAAGCAGAGCTGCTGCTCAGGCTCTCTCGCCCTAACTGAGGCACACCTTGCTGTGACAGGCTTGTGGTTTCCACTCAAGCAAGTTGTTCTGCCAGCTTCGCACAATCCAAGTTTCACTTTGGCAGTAATTTAATTTCACTGAAGGCTGGGCCCAGATACTGACTTCTTGTCAACGTTTTAGGCCCAACCACTCCTGAAAGCGACTCCAGGCAAGCCCTATATGCAACACCCCAGAAATTAGGGGCCAACGAACATGTTCCTCCTAATTCTCAAGTAGAGGCTGCTGAGATTCAAAGCGATATGATGGTGTGCCTTAATACACATAGCCAGCTTAAAGGAAGGAACAGTTGGAAGGCTAAAGTGTCTTTGCCCAGACAGATCTTAGGAAAAGAAATTAAACACGCTTCTGAATGTAAGTGAAAAGGATCTTGTGTATGGCAGAATAAGTATTTTCAGCAACACAACTTAGGATTTGAACATTCAATTCAACAAAAATGTGGACAGACACCCCCTTCCAAGCACATATCGCCACTGTGGAGTTGGGAAAACACTACAGAGAGAGGTGGGTCGGTGTGGGACGGGTTGTTCCTTTGAAATATTTACTGTTCGATTTTAAAGCTGCTCATGCGGCTTGAGGCTTCAGGTTAGACTGCCAGGAGACAGTGCAGACTTCCATAAATATTTGTGGCATTGTTTGTCTTCATGAAACTACGGCCAGGTTTTAGATTCACCAGTTGATTTTAACAATGACTAAGGCTTCAATACTGGGACATTAAGCATATAATCTTTATCCAAAGCAAAGACAGGGGTTTCCCTTTTCACTATTTCTACACACAGAACTTATTTCCTCACTTGGAAAAATGTTCACTAGGTCCAAAAGGCTGGATAAGGAGGCAAGCACTATTTCAGAATTATATAACTTCCATGTCACATTTACCTGGCGACACAATTGTATTAGTGATTTCCTGGTTGCAGATTAGGCTTGAGGGGGGGAAAATCTCCTCAAAGCTTAAAACCATTTTCCTGAAACCATTCACTCACACATGAACACTGCTGCCCACATAAACTTCAACAGAATAGCCACAATGCGTGTCCAAGGCCACTTTTACCATCTTGTCCAAAGTATTTAAAACAGTGGGAAAAGGTTCATTATTTTAAAAGCAACCACCATCAATGAGGTCCTTGGTCCTAAACAGATAGTCCTTCCAAATTTAACAAGTAACTTTCAGCAGTTGGTTTTTTCATTTTTCTGTTAACAACCATGTCCTATTTCCAACTACCTAAGAACTACTTTAAACTGATTATTTTTACCTTAAGTTATAGTAGCAGCCTCTAAATATTCACTTCATAATTACAATGAATAGCCTCACCATTAGCAACCAAATACTACCGTGCTAGAAAACATTAAAATATAAACCGCCACTCTGGTCAGTACAGAGATTTACAAGATTGTGACGGGATCAATTACAGCTGGCTCCTCACTCTCAGTCCCCAAGCCATTTTTTTTTTTTAATTCTATTTTGGAATGAGACATAGAGAGGAAAGATCATTCCGTAATCACAAAATCTCTCAGCAATCATTTTCACTTAAGCTGCAAGCCTTTGGTTTAAAAAGATATACCTACTTATTACAATTATATATGGCATATTTATTACACATGTAAAACACCAGTGAAACTTACTTGACAGTGACTCGATTTGATAAATCCTGCAGATCCCCGGGATGAAAAAGCTGGGCTTCTTTCAATCCAATCTGTTCACAAGCTTTCAAAAAAACGTTTATATTATCCTGTGAAAAGAATTGGAAAGTGATTGTTTAGCCGAGCTTGCTCTCAGACAAAGGTTACCAATTTTTATGATACAACTTCCCAGCTTCAAAGTCCAATTATAGTCAGCAAAAGAGGCGGTGGCAAGAACAACGCATAAGTGTATCTGAAAAAAGAAAAAAAAAAAGTCGGTGGACACGTATAGCCTTTCAGTCTTCCAGAGCATAAAAGGTGGTGCTATCTTATGCCCGAGCATACACTCTCTCTGTGATCTTTGTGACTGGCACGTTAAACATTACCTGTTATAGGACAAGCGCCTAGCCAGTGAGCAGTAATCTACACTTTGATGTCAGCTCCGCTCTGCAAACAAACGCCCTCCCTCTTCCCAGCTTCGCACGACAAGCCTCACCTCTTTAAAAATAACTCCAGCTACTGACATTCACCCACCCAGAAACTGTTGGCAGGGAAGAAATACGAGGAGGAACATTCTGTTTCTATGATTACAAATTACAGAACGGCTGTGGAATACCACACCTGGAATCTGGGTTTGGTTGCTGAGCCAGCTCGTGACAGGCACAGAGACCATGCTATAGGACCAAGGAGAAGCCTGGAGCTTATTGGCTGAACCGTACCATTGGGGAGTGGCATGCTACTCATTCCCTGCACCTGTCTGAAGAGCTGCCTCCAAAAAAACACTGAAAACCTATCCCCCACCTCCAAGCCTGCCCTCCTATCTAATTTCAAAACCCCAACCCTCCATTCACAAACCAATGCTTGCCATTATGCTAAGCTGCTGTGAGACCACGATCTATTCTATTTTCAGTGTGCTGCACTGCAACCACACACATTGGCTACTAGGATTAGCTTTGGCATCACCCCTTACTGCTCTTGAAAAAGAAGTGCTTTGTGTGGCTGAGTTCCTGGTGACTCCATGTGCACTCTTTGCCTTTGCTTTGCTGGGGCTGTGGGTAGGGGAATGTCTTGCTTGCATGCTAGCACACGCTTGTCCACTTAGGTTGGCTGGCAACACCGCCTCTGTGGCATGGGCCTCCCTGGAGCCACACCCACCTCCCTCCCAAGTCCGGGTCGACAGACCAGAAGACAATCTGCCACTTGGAGATGGCGGTTCTTCCTACGCACAGGCAGCAAAGCCAGGATGAGAGGGAATATCGAGACAAATGGGAAGAGGAGGCCGCTTCATCAGCTTAGGTTCCTCAGAGACTCAGGGGACTTCAGGAAAGTGCAAGTGAAAGTGTGACTAGAGAAACAACATTAACTGGGAGGGGCACAAAAAAAAAAAAAAAAAAAAAAAAAAAAAACAGCAGCAAAAACTATTTGTGAAAGTGGAAGGTTGTTCCAGGATGCCCTGAACCAAACACAGTGTGCACTAACTAGCTAGGAACTAAAATGTTTTATCCTTTCAAGTAGTTGGCCCCAAAGACCACAGAAATTTCTAGGGGGTAACAGAGTGGAGAAAAACTGAGGAAGATACCCAAAATTGACCTCTGACCTCTACATACATACATTCATATATTCACATATCCAAGTATACATGAACATGTATAAACGACATGTACACACACACACACACACACACACACACACACACACACACACACGTTTAACCTCTTAGCAAAATTCTAGTAGAAACACAATGATAATTTCACATAACAACTTAAGTTGTTAAGCTAACAACTTCTAAATGCTACATTATCTATAACTATTTGAAAACACAAAACCATTTTAAGAATGCCCACTCTCAGAAGAGCAGACAACAAAATGACTCGTTGGGCCAATATCCCACACCTGACAGGAAGCAAATCTCACATAAAAAGGGGAAAACAAACTATTAAGCATTTTCATATCTGCCTAACTTGGTTCTGAACACTTAAAGTCCCATGAATTGAGACTATACGGCAGGAGAAGAATGCTTGCCTAGCAAACGCAAGGCCTCAAAAGCAGGGTGCCTGGAACCACAAATAGATAAATTATAAAGTACTGAAACTTAATCAAATATACAATAATATTTAGGAACTAAGGAAGGGTAAAAACAACCAGCATATTTCACAAAAACATAATGGCACTCACCTGGTGGACGAAATGTACAAGCTGATAAGGCGGAAGCCACCCTCAAAACCCATCTAAGTATTTAGAGAGAAGCCACTTCAAATCGAAAGTGACGAAGACTCCAGCAGGAACAAAGTTCAAGGAAAAATACAAGTGCTGTGATTACATCTTCGACTTGAGTAAAGCTTTTCATCAGAATGCTGTTTTGAAAGCTTAGTGGTACTCGGTCTCAAAGAGGAAGACACGCTATATAAATTCACACACAGCCTAGGCACTGGCAGTGGGTTCTACTCCAATCAGAATTGTAACCTACAACATGCGTCTTGGACTGGAGCCCACTAGTAATTTATTTCCTGCAATTTCAAAGGATCCAGGCAGAGCATTGCCTCAGGGGATACACAAAATTATAAAATAAAATTTCCATGTCTGTTTCAACATCAAGCAGCCACACCCAGCCCAGTATAATAAAAAAGAAAGCATTTAGCCCTCACTGGATGGAATTGTTTTCGTTTGAAAGTATCAAAAAGAGAGAGGGTGTAAAAAAAAAAAAATAACAACAATGGAGTCCAAATGGAAATCAACCTCATCTAATTGGTCTGGGAGCCAGGACTAGCTGTAGAAAGATTAGTTATGCCTTCTGGCCCCATTTTCCTTATCCATGCAGTGACTGGCATACAGATCTGCAACCCCATTACACAGGGCAGGCAATTCTCTCTGCAAGAAGAGGGGTGCCCAAACCCCCAATCCCTCACACAAACATCCCATAGCCCACTTGTTGAAAAAGACTTCCTGTCAAAGAGCCTGCTTTAAACACAATCCCTACACCTGCAGTGCCAACAGTAGCTTCTCAAAACGAACCAAAATAATAATGATGATATGCAAAAATTATTAATAATAATAATAATAATAATAATTAGCTCGGAAGATATCTAAGTAGCTCCTTCTCATTTACAGTGTTTGCATGGGGACGAAGAAAGGCAAACACGATAGAAAAAGAAATCTTGTTATTTTCACACTCTGTCTAGCCCCCTCTCCACCTCTGATTAATCATCAAGAAAAGCGGTGCTTACTAAGACATTAGGATAAAAAAATGCCAGAAAGATCTACAAAGTCCTCCAGCTTGTCTGGTTGACTATAGGACCTCCATTATGCAAAGCTGCAAAAAAAAAAAAATGAATGATCCTAAAACAACTAGATTAGAGACAGTAGCGTCAGACAATTTTGCAGATTCTGGAATGTGGTATAGCCTTGAGTATGTGGGGTTCTGACTTTGACGACCCCTCATCGAACGGTAACTGAGAGCCTGCAGCCATCCAAAGGCTCTCCTGGTTCTGTGACTGTTCCCAAGGTGACTGACTCATGTGGATGGCAAATCAGGGCTAACAGACGTTTCCATATGACTACCTGATAGAGCCAGAGATGTGAGGACAAAGAGGAAGCTGCACGTCTTGGCTTTTAAAGTCTTCTTCTGTCATTTCTGTAAGATTTCACTGTCACAGAGACCAGCCCTGTTCAGGCAAGACCACACGAGGCTGTAATCACCACATGAGAATCATCAGGCCACGCTAGAATATTGGCTCCAATGTCTGGACACTAGTGATTCATACCTCACTCATGGAAAAATTTACACTCTCTCTCCCAAGGCCTCTGAAATTCCAGTTACTAACATATATGGGGGGTGTGTGTGTGTGTGTGTGTGTGTGTGTGTGTGTGTGTGTGTGTGTGTTAGTATGGATGCATGCATGCAACAGCGAATGTGTTGAGGCCAGAGAACAACTTTCAGGAGTCAGTCAGTTCTCTCTTTCCACCATGTGTTCTAGGAATCAAACTCAGGTTGCCAGCCCTGAGTGGCAGACACCTTTACCCACTGTCTTAGTTAAAGTTGCTATTGCTGTGATGAAACACCATGACCAAAGCAAGATGGAGAGGAAAGAAATGTAGTCCATCACTGAAGGAAGTTAGGACAGGAACTCAAATAGGGTGGGAACATACAGGCAGCAATTGCAGCAGGAGCCTTGGAGGGGAGCTGCTTATTGCCTTGCTCCTCCTGGCTTATTCAGCCTACTTTCTTTTTAAACTCATGGCCACCATCCCAGGGCTGGCACCACCCACAGTGAGCTGCCTCACCACTACCAACACAATCAATCACTAAGAAAATGCCCTGCCTACAATCTGATCTTATGGAAGCATTTTCTTTTTTGTTGTTTGTTTTGTTTTGTTTTGTTTGTTTTTAGAGACAGGGTTTCTCTGTGGTGCTTTGGAGGCTGTCCTGGAACTCACTCTGTAGACCAGGCTGTCTTCGAACTCATAAGATCTGCCTGTCTCTGCCTCCCACGTGCTGGGATTAAAGGCATGCGCCACCACCACCTGGCGTTATTTTCTAATTGAGGTTCCCTCCTCTCAGATAACTTTAGCTGGCTATCTAGTTAATATAAAACTATCTAGCACAGCCACTGAGCCATCTCACTGGACCATAACCCCCAAATTCTCATCTCTTATCAAGGAGAAATCAAAATGTGGAATTATCATCAAGGTCAGCTCCAGTTGTGCATGAGGTTTCAAAAGTCGCACCCTGAAGTAGAGCCGTTGAGTACAGCGCCTCTCAACCCAACCACCTGTGAATGAAAAGGAAGTACCTCTCCTCTTGTCCTGAAAGCCTGCTTTATATACATGTAATACCTACACTACTTTCGGGGCCAAAGGTGATACCTCAAAAAACAAAAACTGATAACCCCTAATGGTATCTAAATAGCTCCTTTTTGTTTACAGTGTTGCTATGGGGATAAATGAAGGAAGGCAAAAGCAACAGAAGGAGTAGGAGGCTTGAGTTAGTGGGGAGATACATAAGGCATTCAGATGCATTCTCCACTCTCCATATGAATGTGTGGAGAAAGTAAAGACACACAAGGGCCACCTGTCCCTAGAAATGCTGGATGTTTCTCAATTAGGACCCAAA